GTGAAACATACATACACTCTGACCACTCTGACATAACAAACGAAAAAAAAACTGCAACATTAAAACAACAAAATTCAGCAATAAAATCCAAATCCTTTCACTTTTTGGCAACCGCAACAGCTGGTACTCGTCGTAGTTGTGGAATCATCTGCATCGTCATTATCATTTGTAGCAAGCGGCAAGTAATGCAGCTGGAAGATTCAGACTGCATACCAAATATGGCAAAAGTGCTTGCAACAGTGGCCACAACAACAACAAATGTGGTTGCATTAAATATGGCAACTGTGATGGCATCATCAGCGCTGCTATTTAAATGCTGAAACAGGCATTCGTCTTGTTGTTGTTATTGTTATTGGTAAAGTCTTGGCTGGCACCGCAGCTGGTAAAAAAGTACATTTCGAATTAGTGGTTGACCACATTAAGTGCAATAGCAGCAACAACTACTGGAGGCAAAAAGTTTTGCGTATGAGAATGGAGATGTGCAGCGGCCGCAGTGAAGATACTATAAATTGCCATACGAATTGAAAAAGTGCTTCATTTTGGGTTGCACTGCTTATAATAGATGGCGAACGTATGTAGATAATTACTTTGATTAGCAGAGATAGGATCAATGTTAGTGTTAACCAGACATTGATAGTCCCTGTGGAGATCCCTAACCGCTCCGTGTTTCTTCCTATATGAGCAAATCTCACTATTTGTTATTTTTAGAGTGACGCCCTTCTTTCTCCAAGAAAAAAAAGACGTTAAAGCATTTATTTGGACAAGGTTTGGTCAAAGGTACCTTTCATCGATTTTTTTTTTGTGGACCTGTGTTATCAAAAGTTAAGTAAAGTTCTTACTTTCAAGTCTTCAATATAAGTTACTCATACGCCCCGGTGTTGAAATTAGTTCGCTCTTAAATATGTGCATACATACATATGTACCAAGGTAGACAACTAATTTTTAAAAATTCTTCCTTTTGGTTGTTGTTGTTTCCGACAGGGTGGGTGTATGATGTCTTTTGGAACGAATTTCCGTTATCCCTTGTCAAATTTGGTTTGGAGACAAACCGGTTTCGGCGTTGTGCCATCTTCAGTGTCATTTTTCGTTCTGAGAACGAAACCGGTTTGTCTCCAAACCAAATTTGACAGGGGATGACGGAAATTCGTTCCAAATTACTTTTTAAAAATTCCCCGATTTCGGCAAAGGAATTCCCCGATTTTGCCCGAAATTTCTTGAATTTTGTATGTATTTTGATATATTGCTTGTCTTTCTGTTTATTTTATTTTTAAAGGTGATTAATCCATGTAATCATAAACCAAACCAAAGGTTTATAAAGTTAGTTAACAAATAAAAAATAAAAAATTACACATACTAAGTTTTTACGTTTATGTTATTTAATTTTAGTTATTTTTTTGTTTTAATATACAGAGTTCATTCTTTAACATAATCAGTATAAATCCCATTTTTAAACTTTGGACAATATTCAAACAAACTTTCATACAAATATCCAGCTTTTTTATTTGATTTTCTAGAAAGAGTTCTGAAAGTTTTGTAGCCCTCTCAATTCTATTACAAAAAAAGTGCAAGTTGTAAGTGGCGAAAAATTTTTCTTTTAAATTTTTTTTTTGCCGAAGATGTTGCGGTTTTTTCCATATAAAAATAAATTGAAAAAGAAATTCTAACAAATAAACGATAATTTGCAGGGTTGCATATTCAGTACTTTAGTTGTAGTTGCATTTCTTACCGCGGTATGAAATTAGTGAAGCAAAAAAGAAAAAATTAGTTAACACCTAATTCCTCACGTAAACTGAAATTCCCCACAAAAAACGGTCCTTTCCCCGATTCCCCACGTAAACTGAAACTCCCCGCAAATCGGGGAATTCCCACGAGTTGGCTTCCCTGATATGTACATATGTATGTATGTATTACATCAACCTCTCATAACGAGATTCTCTCTTTTTTTGGAAAAATTCACCTAAAAAAAAAAAACACAAAAAATATAGTTAGAAGGACCGCGACTAATTCTAGTAACACCACCCGGTATAAATTCGCCTTGGAAATTATCTTTTCTTATATATAAATAGGTAAACATATTTTCCTTAAACCTCTTTTACGCTTAGGGTGTTTTTGAACCGAATTCTGAGACAGGGCATACTTCAATCAAATTCTGAAAAAGGGCGTTCTTGCAAAGTTTTCTGAGATAGGCCGTTTTCGAACTGGTTGCCGAGATAGATCCATCTTCCACTCAGC